TCCCCTCTCTCTGGCAGGGCTGACCTGTCCCCTCTCTCTGGCAGGGCTGACCCCATCCCCTCTCTCTGGGCAGGGCTGACCCCATCCCCTCTCTCTGGCAGGCCGGGGGTGCTGACGTGGGCTGGACGCTGGGGTACATGCTGAACCTCACCAACATGGTCCCGGCCGAGGCTCCAGCCAGGCTGAAGGGCCACAGCTCATCCCTGTGGGCTGCAGCCATCGCCTTCATCATCCTCACACTCATCTTGGGGCTCGCTGCCCTGCTCCTGGAGCTGTGGGTGTAGAGCCTGGCCATGTTTGGGAGCCCAGCAGGGACAGGCTGGGGCTGCAGGGCCGTGCTGGAGCCCTGCTCCTGCCTGCATCACTGGAGCCAGGACTGGGTCTGTGCTGTGAGCAGAGCCACCTCCACAGCTCCAGAGAGCTGGGGGCTGCTTTTCCATGGGCCTGGCCCCCAACATGCAGACAGGCACTCTGAGGTTTGCAGAGGAGCTCCACTCCCATGGAGGCACAAGCCTGCAGAAGCCTCAGCCGAGCCTGTTTGCCTGCTGTCAGTGCTCTATGTGTTACAGACATGGCTTCATCCCACCAGCTGGCCCTGGGGCTGTGGAGGGCCAGCCTGGCGTGGGACAGTGCCCTGGTGCCAGCCTGGCCGTGGGACAGTGCCCTGGTACCAGCCCTGGGGCATGGGGCAGGCACTCCAGGGTGCTCCATGCAGTGCCAGCTCTGAGCGTGGCCACCAAGAGCCAGCGGGTCCCTGCCAGCTCTGCCAGCCTGAGGGTGCTCTGTGGGACCCCAGCTGGCCCTGGGCAGGGTCTGTGCCTGGGGCTTTCATGGTCTTGGAGAAAGAACACTGAGCACCCACAGTCAGAAGTGTGGTCCAGACCCCTCCAGAGTCCATCTCATCATCTCATCACCATGCTATGGCATGTCATGTCATCATCACATCTCACCACCCATCTCATCCTCTTCCTTTTCACCTGGAATAAGGGATTGATGCTCCTCAGTGCCTTCCTGCAGACAGCACTGTCCCACCAGCAGAAGGCCTGGACCCCATGCGTGTCAGGATGAGATTCCAGCAGGCTGAGTCCTGCCCTGCCCATGGCCTTTGCCTTTGGTTCTGCTCGTTTTTAGCTGCTCTGTGGATGATTCACGCTGTTGTTTGCGTTCCCACAGTGAGCAGCAGACCTTTGGTGTCCCTGTGGAATGCTGGGCACCTCACAGCTCTCAGCACCCAAATAAACAAATAAATAAAAGGCAGCACATGGGGAAATGCCTGCTACTCTGCTTCCAAAACGTTGTGATTTTATTACTTCTGTCTCCCAGGTAAGGGCTGGTGACGACAGAGACTCGGGTGAGGCAGTGAATCTATGGGAGGTGTCCCTGCAGTCTGCTGGACTTTGGAGTGGAGCCAGCAGGGCACAAGGACAGGCCTTTCCTTCTCTGAGGAGGTGTCTCACCTCACCCATCACTTGGCTGCCAACAGGACTCCCCAAAAATGTACCGGGGCCCCTGGAAGCTGCCTCTGCCATGTCCCAGCAGTGTTCCCAAGTCACCCTGTGTTGGGAAGGGAGGATGAGCCATGGGGCATGGGGTGCAGCTGGACTGGAGAGGAACCTCATTGCAGGAGAGGAGGCAGAGCTGTGCCATCCCCCCTCACAGGGCTTCCCAGCCCTAGGCAGAGCCCTGTCTCACAGCTGTGGGGAGGGTGTTTGTTTCACAGCTGTGGGGAGGGTGTTTGTTTCACAGCTGTGGGGAAGGTGTTTCACAGCTGTGAGGGGGGTGTTTCACAGCTGTGGGGAAGGTGTTTCACAGCTGTGCCAGCTCCAGCTCACCAGACCAGGACTCGGGACCCCCAGGACAAGCCCGTGGCCCCTGGGCACACAGGGGGGATGCTCGGGAAGCAGCTCCCTGCAGAGGAGTGGCAGCAGGACCCGGCCTGGCGGCCTCAGGAGGCAGTGCTGCTACAGCTGCTCATAGCCCGAGGAGTTTCTGTGGCAGCACGTGGCTGTGAGCAGGCAGAAGATGAGGATGAGCATGATGGCCAGCAGAAGTGTGGCTGCTACCCAGATGTTTCTCGGGAGCTCTGCGACTGCTGTGGGAGGCTCCGAGGGGATCAGGTTGGTGAGATTGAGCATGTAGCCCAGAGTCCAGCCCACATCTGTGTTAGCAACCTGTGCAGACAGACAGGGAAGAGGGATGGAAAAGGCTGCAAAGTACCAGGCAAACTAGAGAAGAGCCTGCGCCCCCAGGACCTGCTCTACAACCACCATTTCTGTGCCCAGCTTGGGCTGCAGGGGCCCCAGCAGTGGCATACACTGGGGGAGAGCACCAAGAGCCAGGCCAGATGTGCCAGCAGCTGTGTGAGTGTAGCTCAGGAGCTGCCCTGGGTATGGCCAGTGGGGCTGTGCTGCCCTGGCATCCCCCGTCCCCAGCAGCAGCAGGGTGGGCACAAGCCACTTCATGGCACAAAGTGTGGAAGCTGGGGGCTGCTGGACACTCTCCTACCTGCTGGACGAAGTGGATGCTGGGCCATGTTGTGATGTTGAATTTGTAGCCTTGCAGGAGGAGGGTGAGGATGTAGGAGCTGGCTGCGCAGGCGTCACGGAGCTGGGTCCTGCTCGCCGTGGGGAACAGCTCCTGCACCTGCAGAGGTGGGAGAATAAGGGCAGGCTGGACCCAGAGCACTGCTGGATGTGCCCACGCTGGGGAGCAGCCCCTCAGTGCAGCTGGGAGCAAAGAGACCCCGGGGAGCAGCAGGATGCTCTCCCATCTCTCTCCAGGTGCACAGACCTTTGTGCTCCTCCTGGCTCTCTGCAGCTGAGCACAGCAGAGGATGGACTGGGGATGAGCCTTCAGGCTGCCCAGTGCCCAGGTGAAACACACTCCTGGGCAGAATCTCACCTGTTTCCAGCTGCTGTTGCATATCTGCCTGATGGTGGCATTGACCAAGCCCAGGGACTGCCCTCCTGTCAGGTTCAGAAAGTGAAGGCTGTGATAAAACCCCGAGAAGGCCTGTGGGTGTTGAGACCAAAGGTGACAGGTTATTGAAGCACTCAGAGCACTGATGCCACCCACACCTACACAGGGGTCCCTGCAAGGCCCGGCTCACACTGCAAAGAGCTGGCAGTGACCCTGGGGGAGGGAGCTGGGAATGCTGCCCACATGGACAAGGAATGGCACTGGGAGAAGAGATCTGGGGCTGCCTGGCACACAGAACAGCACCCCCCTGATGGTCTGCCAGAAAATCTCAGAGCTCTCCCACAACCCAGGAGCTGTTCTTGCACTCTGAGCTGGCTCACACAGGCTCCCTCAGACAAGCTCTTCCCATTTCCCTCAGGAACGCTGGCACA